CTCATATCAATAGGGGGTTCTTATTCTATTATCTAAACTACAGAGGGAAAAAATGGCATTTCTAGCGTCCAACTTAAAATTCTGCATGATTCTGGGTAGCAATATAGAATCGTTATTTCTCTTAGAGTCTCATTTGGATTGTAGGTGAACGATAGGTAGTACTTGAATGCCTTACTACTCTGAAGATCGACCCCAAGTGTCGTTATCTATTATCATGGTATATAACTGAGATGATTCGCTGCTTTTTATTAGAACCACTTTAAACGCGCCTTTGCATAAGCAATTATGGACGAACTAAAACTCTAAACCACTTGGTAACTATCCAACGGTGTTGATGTCTAACTTCAATCTTGCTCAACCCTTCATCCATTGTATGAGGTAGATAACTGACTCCATCCGAAACGGATTGGACTCCATTCCTCACGACTTCTCACTAGAACTACAGGAAATCAATCTTGAAGCTAGTCACTTGTTCCGTATGCGCATTGCTGAGGGGTCTCATGCTAGGACGAAACGACCGTCCAGTGCTTCCAGGTTTTCAATGGTGGTCTAGTTTATATGGACTCATGAATTCAACTATTAATATTGACAATAAACTTTATTCTGAGTGATCATCCGTTTACTTTGATCTCAGCAACTACAGAGACATGTTCCTGAACCTTCGGTAAATCAACCAAGACGTCAGTGATTTGGAACAAGTTGCTGTTGATGCATTCGCCAACTAGATCATGAGGTCACTACAAAGACACCACCGATTAGAAACGACGCTAATCTTTTATGCACCTTTTAAGGATTTCCTCTCTTTTCTTATAGTACTTTCATAGGAATTTTGTATTCTCCATATCACTCTCGTGTTGGTTCCATGAGCAAGTGACTTTACATAACTTTTGCAATGTTATGAAACTGTATACTCTTCTACTTTTGCCCATAACTCAGTAGTGTGACATATACCTGGAAACTCTATTCGGGAGGTTATGTTAGTTAAAACCCGAAAATATCGTGAGCTTAGCGCTTATTATTTCATGATAATATAAACTATAATTCCCAAAGATCTGGGCGAGTAATCCTTAAACTCGATGGTCTAACGATTAAGCGTTCGCATGAGATCGAAGGTCCTGTGTTAGATCCCCAATTTCAGGGACGTAGTTGCTCACTTCTGAGTAGTCAAATACTAAGACGAAGTATCCATCCAGTGCTTTCAGGTTCTCAGTAGCGGGCTGATATTGACTGGTTAATGATCTCAACAAAAAGTCGACAATCTCCAGAACCCCATATTGACAGTCCTCAAACTGTTGGAGAAATACTCCATACTGATTACATCATGTAATCGCCTTTAAATGTTAATGATTACCCGACTTTGACAAAATAATTTCTTATACGAAACATGGCGCCAGATTCATATGAGCATAACTGTATGTATGACACTTATCACCATTAGGTCATCGTGACTATACGGTAGATATATGAGACTAGAACTGTTTTGAGAAAGAAGGTAGCAACACATTTTTCTCAAAAGAATTCTTTGAATATTCAAAGTTAGTAAATTGATGTGACCCTCTGAAATCCCTCCGAAAGGCATGTTTAAGACAACTTAATAGAAATAACAGCTCATAACTCAGCAGCGAATTGCCTGGTTGAACAGTTCTAAGGGTAGTTGGAAGGCTTGTCTATGATTTAATACAATCAAATGGATTGATTTCTTACTACTTGTCCTCAATGAAACTCACCCGACAGTCAAATAGGATAGCTGTCGCATGTCAACGGAGGTAGTTTACGGCACACATCTGATTCCAACAAGATGGCTGGTCGGTTCTGACGACAAAACACCAGTGAATCTGCTGTTTATTTATAACAAACTGATCATCAACGAGTACTTCCAGGCGAACACATAACAGCTTAAGTTAGATGGTTACGAGTTAGCAGATAATTTCTTGTTAACGTCAAAACGTTATGGCTCAAGTATTTATTGACTTCTGTATTTTGTGCTGGTATTATATTCCCTACTATCGCATACATAATGTTTAAAGGTCTGTAGTCTTAAGAAGTATGACATCACGCTCCAATTGTTCTCTTTCACCGTTTGGACTGAAGCCTACTACAACCAATCTACAGGATTTTGGGCTACATAAAATGAGGAGTACTTGCCAAAACCAAATTAGTATTTGCCATGTACAACTCGACAAACGTTTAACGATGTGTGAATTCTCTTTGTTCACATCTACTTATTGAGGAAGCCACCACAGCAACATTATGAAGGTTCTTGTCAAGTTATCAATCAGAAAGCTTAACATCATCGATAAAGATATGAAGGAGACTTTTGACAAATCGACTAAAGCCTTCATTCTTAGATAACCAACACAGAGGAGAAAATGTCACATTAAACAAGCAAACTCAACTGCATTTTACATAGAATTAAAAAAACAACAGCACATTAACCAACGAATGCACGTTTTCAACGTCTCAGCAGATCAGTAAACAGACTCAAACGCTACTTTTTACCTCGTAAGTTAATAAAAATTAAATACGAAAAAAGTATTAACGAGTAAAATTAACACCTAGTCCATTCGGGTCGCTAAGAGTAATTGGTTTTATTAAACGCGGTGATTATATCACTATTCTCATTCAAATTGCTTGGTGAACTCACCATTTATCTATATCGTAATTGCGCGTATATATTTTAGAATGTTTGTTATTAGTCAATGTCAGGACAGCTTTTTTATCTGAATATACCTATGGAGTAGATTGGTTCCGTATTATTATAAAGGACCATTCACAGTTACACGTTTTTAGGTTACACAATTATATATATATATGTTGTAACTGTAAAGTAACATCACACAGCATCAATGCACACCTTATGTTTCTAAATATGTGTATTTGCACAATCATTTTCGCAAATCAGCACCACGTATTTTCGTTTACGTTTTCGGGCGTGTACTCATCTTCCCACTTTGGACACTCTGGAGGGAGCTCTGAGGAGATGGTTAACATAGACTTATTTTGCAAATAATTTTTGTCCTTATCCACATCTTTTGCAAAGTCACCTAGTTTATATAGTCATTTTTGTTGACTACAAATTATTGTCAAAATGTGACCTTGACTTTCCCGTTACCAATATGTGATTGGTGTACATGACACACTGATTAGTGATTACATCAAGACAAAAACTTGTGCGAATTTTCGATGGTTTTAATACAAAAATCATGTTATATCAAAATTGATAGTGTCTCAACAGAACCACTATTACTATGTAATCGAACGTTAGTTAGTTTAACAATTGAATGATAATATTTGCTGTGGCTATTAAATAAATGTTCATTTACTAGTCACTTTGATTCGAATATCGACTGATCAAGAGCATGAATATCTGAACTAGCCTCCACGAGTGTCATTAAGCCCGAAGCCGCTTTTCATTGGAAATAACTTCAATTTTAATGATTTTGATTATTATGGATTCACCTGAGCTTTCACCTTGGTTTGTTAGCATAGATGGATTGCTGCTAGCAGTGGTGTACAGGACGCGTGTTTCGTCCTTTTCGGGACTCGCCAGCTGGATTCGCATACATCCCAGAGTTGAGGTTCACTCCGAGACCCCAACCCAGTACCTTACTTCTCAGGAGCCATCGCGTTATCCACTTAGCTACCGAGCTTTGATAGCCATTAGCTTGTGGGGTCACCCAAACAACCAATAAAGGAATGAATTTCGGATTGTTTATAATTTTAACCTTAGACTTTCGGTTACTGTCATGCTTGTGCTTCGGCCTTTAACAATTCAGGATTCAGAAGTTAAGTAATTAAGGTTCACTATCAGGACTAATATTTACACAAGACATTTACCGTCTCGCACTATACAAACAAAATTTGGTCATTTCGAGTCTGAAGGTTCGTTTTACCGGCCAGTTGGTTGAGAGTTGAGAATTCACCAAATAATCACTTTTTAAAGCGTCCAGAGTAGAGAACTGTGATACAAAAACGATCATTGTATCAGCGGTTTGGCAATATGATGTTTTTTAATATCTGCAATGAACAGTAATTCACGAGGTTCACACAGTCACGTTTTCTAAAGACTTTGTATAATAAAATTGCCCAAAGATAAAGGTATTACTTTGATACAAGGAAAGTGGTCCTATCAGTGGTCGAGTTTTCAGTCTAATCCGCGTAAAAATGTACGCTCCTAAAGAGAAGGGAACACAATTCTGTCAATAAGAAACAGAAGCAACCGGTTAGACAATCAAACAAATGATCAGCCAGGTTCACGTTATTTGTCTTTAAATTACGTTTGGTATCTTAGGATTCTGAGGAGGGACTCATGATATGGTCCTCTTAAAAAAAGGTTAACGAAAAAGGTATATTCACTCCAATGTACTTGTAACCAACATCCCATAAAGTCACCCCTAGTATGTGACCTAATGATATTTGTCGAGGTCATCAGGAACAGACTGCAGAAGTAATATATTCATGTGGTTTTGGGTTTCGATAGCATAAAGGCTTTTCCAAACCTTTTTTACAGATAATTACTGAGCTAATTGGTACGACTTGCATTTTATATATGTACCTCCCTGATAAAAATCAAATGGAATGTAATATTCCCGCGAAATTTTCTTGTGTTTGATGTCATTTAAATTAGAATTTGGCTGGATCGCTCTAAATAGTGATTATCGCTAGTTGAACGATGTGTTACATAGACAATCAGTCTGTAGAATAGTGCGTGACTATCTTCAATCATATTGCTTACTTGACCGGCTACAATGGGCCCTACAACAAAATTAATCGGCAGATGTGTTTCAAAAAAATATTACACAACAGCAAACAACTTGAGGTTTACACTAAAAAAAGAAAAAAAGTTGATGTTAGTAACTATTTTGAGGTCTTCAGACGACGACACTTCACTCTATTATGTGAACTCCAGAGAACTATGCTAGCCTACACGCAGTCAACCTATCTCATTCGCTCCAAATATGGGATTCCCGCCGTTCTTCAAGTCGTTCAAGGTTGTAAAAGGAAAGCGCGGTCGGGTTTGAAAGTCAGTCACTTTTTTCAATATAATAAACACGGTAAGATAGGAACGACCTTTGATTTAAAAATTGTTGGTCGCTTGGTTGATCGTATCGACACTTCTATTTGAGTAGTATCAGCCGGCTGGAATGTAATTAAGTCGAGAATTCATATGCATTTCATCGGGAGAATTACTCCGACGGCTGGAATTGTGCAATTCCAGCTAACTGATCAAGTTGCTCGTTACAACTTACTCCTATTCTGAATTGTAACGGATTCTTAATTCCATGCCAGTTCATCTGGCCGTAATTATCAGGTTGTCTTAGTCATACTTCACCATTGTTTGTTGTCGATCACTTTCATCACAAATGCATTCTGTGTTGATTTAGTCGTTCCCTCTCTTTTCTTGTTCTTTCCTCGTTCACACTCCCCTAGCACTTAAGTGCATTCAGGATGAACTCATACCGCCACAGCTAACTTTTATTCAGTGCCCTGTAGTTATTTTTTGTGCTTCACTTGTATTTATTTCTATTTTATTATTTTTCGAGTCAGTGTACACTAACCTAGTGTAATAGTTCTTGTCGTCATCTCCATTAATATCCACTAAGAATGGATAGTTCACAGTTGTCAATTTGTAATTAATCTTCCAAAGTCAAACAAAGTTCTTATGTTGTTCAGTGCTCCATAAGGACCGTTGATAGACTGTAAATTGAATCATTTCAATTAAGGTTATATTTTAAGATCTTTGGATTAACCTTGCATTTATTTTACGATTCGCGTACAAGGTGACCTAGGATAGTTAGCATGATTTATTACACTCACATTTGTCGTCTAAAACATTTTAGATGTATCAACCAATGTCGCAACTTCAGTTTAAGTGGGTCAAGAAAAAATAACTTTAGACTTGATCCTTCTTTTCTCCTAGTTGGGTTAGGAAAACTCAGGAAAGAAGGCTAGTTCATAAGCCAGCAACGGACAAAACACCTCTGGTATACAAGTTTTCTCACCAAGTAACTGACTCCTAGAACCTATTACTGGAAGAATTAGTGTCCAGGCCTTCAATTAGTTCATTTGGGAGAATATACACTCACAGAACCCTTCTAGGACGGGACCAGTACGTGCTCTCGGTATTCTTTCAAGATAAATAATTCAAGTCATGGTGATTTATTTATGGACAGACGTGTTTACATAGTGTTCATGGGCTCTTTGAAGTATCTGTGATTCATCACACAAGGTCATATCCATCTAGTAACCGAAATTACTATATTGGACTTTGTCGAAAGTCTGAATTATTTTAAAATACGGTGACTATACGGATATCTGTCGGTGTACATGAGGCTGTCCACAAGATTGAATGTGAAATCATTTAAACCTGTTATTTTTTTGGCTTACACGTTAACCTTTAAACATGGTGTGCATTCGTTCAAACTCCGCCTAACAGTATATCAACCTTTATTTGAGGTCTTAGCGTAGATATGTTTACGATGAGAACACCCTGAAACTATGATTTGTCATATGACAGGTGTCAAAAGATATACCCTCCAGTTTGCAACTACTTTTGCGGTATTTTTAAAACGTGGACAAATGTCGCTGGACATACCTTGGGCTCTTTTTTCATTCGGCTATCGTCGTGCACCATAAATTTGAGGCCCTTCAATGTCCGTCGACTAGTTTTACTTAACTGTAGTTTATTTTTATGTTCTCTGGATATGGTTTATAATTATGTATGGGCTGTTTGGTGCATAATTTCACGTGGGCAGTCATCCATGCAAATCAAGCAAAATGATTGACACCGATCAAGTAGTCAACCGGAAATACTCAACGTAAAACCTGGCACATATATACATTAGTTCAAGTTACTATATCCTGTTAGCGCAGCAACATGAATTTGTTAGAACAAATCTCAGAGTAGGAAGTGTAGCAACAATGTTGGTGGTAACAGAAAAGATTAAGCATTGAAGATACAATTTGAGGCTTCATATTTATCAAAGGGATTGTTATTAAAATCTTTGGAGCCAGTGAGATTTTCTGAAAAATATGGGATAACCATCCACTATCAGTCCATAAGGTTGAGACGATAGGCAGAACACCATGAAGAACAGTTTAACTTTCCTCTAGTTGACTACTTTTACTAAGGAACCTGAATGGAATATCGACATAAACCTCTCAACTCTTAATGAAGTAGAGAAAACCATAGCTAATCTAAAACGAAGGGTTTAATTCATTTTGATTATAGTCAAAACATGTTACAAAAATAAGTTTAATCTTATCAAAGGTACATTCGCATAAGTTGAAAACCTTAAACTACTTTATGGAAGAAATAAGCTACCTATCTAGATGAATCACTCTGATTTTAACTATTTGATATTTTATTTTGAACATAATAGAGCACTTGTTTGCGTCGGCGGTTCAGTAGTAAAATGCTCGCCTGCCACACTGGTAGTCGTGGTTCAACTCCCCAAATGTCCTGGCACGGCCGAGGGTGAGGAGAGTCCACTCTCCCTCTCGAAATGCTTTTACATGGCCACGCGTATACACTCACTGCCTTCTCGTGGCGGGGGTGTTGTTTACGAAATTGAGAGGAAGAAAAGCGAATGTCTGGTGCTTTAACCGGGTTGGTGGATATGGAGGACTCATATAGGGTAGTTTGTAAACCCTGATTCCAAACCAATGGTGCACATGGGCTGCAGGATCCCAGGAGAACAAATGGCGTATGAACCTATTGTTGGTTACCGGCTACTATGAGAGTGCATCTCCTAACGTCGCTCCACTGCCTTGTGAATCAGACGTTTAGGTCGAAGACTCCGGTTGTGGCCCTCTAGGAAAACCACCTGCTTCGGTTTGGGCACCCGAACAGTATCACAGCCCACACACAAATCAAGTGACTTGTGTGGCGCATATGTATTTGATGCCCCTTTGTACCAATATTTATGTGTTCAAACAGATAAACTTCATGTTTTATTTTCATCGACTAGTTTCTCCTTTGAATCAGACACGCGTTTTGTTATTATTTTATTTCGCGTTATTCTCGTCTTGTTTCGACTACTCATTGTTCATTTCATGCGCCGGCTGAAAATGCATTTTAGATGTATTCAATTAGTGTTAGTCAGTGGAGGAGCTGATGTATGTACTAGTGTAAGTTGTAACAGCATTCCGTAATGGGAAAGGAGAAATGAACAAAATGGAGATTCAGGAGGGGAATTAACACAGTACAATTATGATGATATTAGATTCAATATTTAGAGTCGGAGAGAATAAATGTAACTGGATCTATTTCTGGCCATATGACCCTCTTTATATTCAGTATGACTAATAATATGCTATAAGTTGTCAATGACCGTAGACTTCAAGATGAAATTAGAGATTGTTTATATGCTGTATGTTGGATTTGTGTGATTACCAAATATAATTCATGGAAAAGGAAATCAATATCGATTAAGATGAGTTCGCGTTATATGTACAATCGGTTAACTTAAATGTATTTCTGAATTAATGTACTGGAGATTATCAGTCAAAGGCTTCAATCACTAAATTCTAGGTAGAGGAATAGGAAATAAGACGATAGTATTTTCGTTCACTGTCTTGTAATTGTAAAATATTAGCATAGCGCCTAAAAGTATCACTATAGAAAATATGTTTTCATATTATTAAATTATTAATTCTTAAATTTATTTCTGTTCAAATCAAATTTATAATTCATAAAAATTTGTTCAACACCATTAATCCATACCAGTTTAAAGTTGGCATGGTGTTATTGACAAATTAGAAGAGATCAAATTGTTTTTTTTTATTGATTGAAATCATGAACCGATTGATGTTTAGACCACTGTTGGAAACCTGGAAGCACTGAATGGCCGTTTCGTCCTATTGTAGGACTCCTACATAGTGTACATCCACGTGTTACGTATTCCCGACTGCCTCGACGTGCGATGTTCAGTGGTATAGGAGTAGGTTGGAAGAAAGCTAGGGGCGGCCAGACCAAAACATGGCACAAATCCATGAAGTCACTGACAAGTAGACTGAGTCATGTTGGTAGGTGTAGACTACCTGGTTGGGGACCGCGACATGATAGCGACCGATGGTTAGAGACCCTGAATGACATGGTTCAAAATCGTTCGCAATGGTGCAGGTGCATCTACTCTTTGTGTTCTCCCAAATTTTAATCTCCTGACTCCTCCTTGTCTCTTTTTTTTCTTCCCAAATATATTTCACTGTATTATACTCTTTAAATAACATCTCCAAACCCTAATCTTCCCGATTACTACTTATACTCTTGCTACCTCTACCACTATGAGATTTGAATTGACAACTGCATCTGTGTACTAATGTGCTTGTTAAGTTTGTTTTACATTGTTCCTGCTCATTCCCTTTCTACTCTTCTGTATATTGTTTTATACTACTCATTTGCATTCAGTAGGCAGTCATATTCCTAACAATTTTCAAACTTACATTGTAACGCGAGTTGTTCTGTAATATTCCGAATTGTTCACATATACTTATAACGTTTATTGTACTTATCATTGTATTTATCATTATAATTACTGTATCTTAATCACTGTGGCCGTTATCCACAGTTTTGTGCATTTGTTTAAACGCAACAGTTTTGACATTGCTTTGCCCTCGGTTCGAGTTTCGATTGCTCATAAACTGTTATCCAATTTAGACACAGCTATCGGCTGTCTTTGTACTATCGAAGCCTTTGTTATTTTCATTCTTGAAGGACGCGTTTAAACACCTAGACACCTCAAAAGTTGAGAACTGTTGATTCTATCGAAGCGTCCAAGTAACCCCGATTGAGATACGCGCAAAATCGAAGTTCCAAAACAACGATTTGTCTACAAAAGCGTAAGGTTGTTGGGGCTTTCCGATACGTTGATCGAGAACTCAGTGGGCTTGTGGAACGTCAACTCCAATTAACAACCCTACTCTGTCGCATGTAATAGTAGGTAGCCGTACACCTTTCAAATGTTTCCATCTTTTCTGGAAGTCGGTCGGTGGCATTTCTGCTTTTTTAACAGGTAGGTTATAGACAGTGTATGCACCTTCTATCCTTATTCGGTTAGTCTTATCTAAAGATTCAATCTCGAAATTAGTAAATTCAGTATTTTGAGATGATGCTCCAATTACAGAGGATATGTTTAATCGAGTCACTGTACCTGAAATTCCCACCTGCTTTGCCACATCACTAAGTAGCAGTGTCGTGTCTGAGCCGTTATCTAATAATGCATATGTATCCACGTGTCCTGTGGAGCCATGTAACCTGACTCGTACAAATCCCAAATACGTTCCAGTAGAATAAGTAGAATTACAGCGTGCTTGTTTAACATCAGGTTCTGTGTTGTGAAGAATTCTATGATGACGTCGCTTGCATCCATCGATTTCGCACAACACGGGTTGTCGGCAGTCTGTTGCTCGATGATTGGGTTTTACACAATTAAACTTCTTCAGTAATTCTAACCTTTCGTTGTAATTTACTGTTAGCAGCTGTGGGCAAGATGCGACACGTGGACACATATGCATTATTAGATAACGGCTCAGACACGACACTGCTACTTAGTGATGTGGCAAAGCAGGTGGGAATTTCAGGTACAGTGACTCGATTAAACATATCCTCTGTAATTGGAGCATCATCTCAAAATGCTGAATTTACTAATTTCGAGATTGAATCTTTAGATAAGACTAACCGAATAAGGATAGAAGGTGCATACACTGTCTATAACCTACCTGTTAAAAAAGCAGAAATGCCACCGACCGACTTCCAGAAAAGATGGAAACATTTGAAAGGTGTACGGCTACCTACTATTACATGCGACAGAGTAGGGTTGTTAATTGGAGTTGACGTTCCACAAGCCCACTGAGTTCTCGATCAACGTATCGGAAAGCCCCAACAACCTTACGCTTTTGTAGACAAATCGTTGTTTTGGAACTTCGATTTTGCGCGTATCTCAATCGGGGTTACTTGGACGCTTCGATAGAATTAACAGTTCTCAACTTTTGAGGTGTCTAGGCGTTTAAACGCCTCCTTCAAGAATGAAAATAACAAAGGCTTCGATAGTACAAAGACAGCCGATAGCTGTGTCTAAATTGGATAACAGTTTATGAGCAATCGAAACTCGAACCGAGGGCAAAGCAATATCGAAACTGTTGCGTTTAAACAAATGCACAAAACTGTGGATAACGGCCACAGTGATTAAGATACAGTAATTATAATGATAAATACAATGATAAGTACAATAAACGTTATAAGTATATGTGAACAATTCGGAATATTACAGAACAACTCGCGTTACAATGTAAGTTTGAAAATTGTTAGGAATATGACTGCCTACTGAATGCAAATGAGTAGTATAAAACAATATACAGAAGAGTAGAAAGGGAATGAGCAGGAACAATGTAAAACAAACTTAACAAGCACATTAGTACACAGATGCAGTTGTCAATTCAAATCTCATAGTGGTAGAGGTAGCAAGAGTATAAGTAGTAATCGGGAAGATTAGGGTTTGGAGATGTTATTTAAAGAGTATAATACAGTGAAATATATTTGGGAAGAAAAAAAAGAGACAAGGAGGATTCAGGAGATTAAAATTTGGGAGAACACAAAGAGTAGATGCACCTGCACCATTGCGGACGATTTTGATCCATGTCATTCAGGGTCTCTAACCATCGGTTGCTATCATGTCACGGTCCCCAACCAGGTAGTCTACACCTACCAACATGACTCAGTCTACTTGTCAGTGACTTCATGGATTTGTGCCATGTTTTGGTCTGGCCACCCCTAGCTTTCTTCCAACCTACTCCTATACCACTGAACATCGCACGTCGAGGCAGTCGGGAATACGTAACACGTGGATGTACACTATGTAGGAGTCCTACAATAGGACGAAACGGCCATTCAGTGCTTCCAGGTTTCCAACAGTGGTCTAAACATCAATCGGTTCATGATTTCAATCAATAAAAAAAAACAATTTGATCTCTTCTAATTTGTCAATAACACCATGCCAACTATAAACTGGTATGGATTAATGTACGTACGTACAAAGTTCTTCGTTGTCACTCACTGACTGACATCTGCGATCCTGTTCGTGGGATTGGAACCCAGGGCCTTTAGTTTTACACGTGAACTTTTAACCATTAAGCCGGCATTCAATAGATTTAGTGTTAAACATCAATTCGTTTTCTTTTCTTTTTTTTCAACTCACTTCTTCTTTCTTTTCTTTCTTTTTTTCTTCTTAAATAAGACATTATGAAAAAGAAAAGATCTGTTGCTACCGAATTAGTTCAACGTGCTTCATCTATATTACCAGCATTTACTGATATATTTGATGAAGAAACATTTTATATATTTTTTATTTGTCTTGTTATTTTCTCATTTATTATAGCATTTAGTATAGCTAAATATTTCGATGTAACAATTAAAGATGCAGATCATTTAAAATTAACTAAACGACAAAAATTAAAACGACACCACTATTCAATGAATCAACAAAAATGAAAAAGAAAAAAACAACAAAGAAATTTATTGATTTGTTTTCTTTATACTTTATTGTTGTCTTTTTTTTTGTTGTTGTTTATTTTGTCATTTTTACTTTAGAAAAAAAAAAACAAATATCTCCCACCCTATTCCATCCCCTCCGCAACTAATTGATCATGATAGTTCAAGTCAATGATGTACTTTTCTTTCATCAAAATATACAAGGTATTATGTTTGTTTGTTTGTTTGTTTCCATGCATTGTATTGTGTATTTATTCTAGTCAATTGAAAAATTCTTTTTTTTTTATTATTTATTGTTGAATGATATTCCTTTCATATTTGTGCAATCTCTCCATATATTATGTCTATTCAATGTGAATTCATTTCTTTTATTTTTATGGGCAAGAAATTCATATTTTGCTTCAAGTTTACTATGATCTTATATTAGTATTAGATTGATCTAATCATGTTGTTATGCAAGAATTAAACATTCGTTCATTTACATAAATAAGAAATGAGTATGATTGTTTTATTTTGTTTTAATATGAAAAGAAATACATTTATATCCTTATGCTCTAATTACCAATGACGTATATATATATATATATATATATATATATATATTGCTTTATCATATTTATCCTGTATATAAAGATATTAGTTTAGCAGAAGAAAATGTTTATCATTTTAGTTGATGGTCTTATCTTCTAGCATCGATTTCATTAAGAATGAGGGGGGGGGCACCAGATATATATATGCGCCACACAACAATAATGAGAATAGGAAGAGATAAAGAATGTAAGGTGTGTATAAAAAGGAAAAAAAGAGGACAATAACGACCACAAATCAGTGTAATAGTAGTAATAATAATAGTGGGGGAAATGGAAAGAATCCTTTCAGCTAAGGAAGAAGCAACCACTTTTTATGAAGAAAGTAAATGAAGGTTACAGCAGGATTGGCAGTGGTTTCTATTCTGAGCCATATCTGATAACGTATCTAGCCACTGTGTTACACCATCTCTGAAACCCCAACCAAGGAGTCGTGAATGACCAATAGATACCAGTTCTGTACAGCTTTCTTTCATACCACGACACTATTTCATACACTGACTACTTCTCCGCTTTTTTCAACCAATCCCAGAATCAGTGAATAACGTACGACAAGGAATTCTCTGGGACGATATTTGTCGAACATGTCCAAGCCACCGAAGTCGGTGTTTCAAGATGGTGACACCAATTGCATTATCATCTCTGTGCCCGAACACACGATGCTCAACTTCTGCATTACTAACATGATGTTGTCACTAGATATCAGCAATTGTTCAGAGACAACGATGATCAAATACAGAGAGTCGTCTAACATCCTCAACTCGGAGAGGCCAGGTTTCACAGGTATAGACTAAAACTGCTCTCACCAACGCTACTCTTATAGCTTAGTGTTCTTGAACACTATTTCACTCGATAAGTCCCCCAAATAATAAACTGTGGAATAGGAATGTAATTATATTTCAAATAACAAGGTTGGGTGGAAGTAGAATCCACAATAACCTATATCCCACTAAAATCATTATCGACTTTAATTATAATATAATTCAAATAGATATCATCTTGGCTCATTTAATTAAAGGACTTGTATATATATATAGTAAGAGAATTGAAATTGTTCGTTTATGGAATACTTGTTATATACTGTCTTATGTTCAATTTACCCTCTATCCCTTTATTTATATGACCTATCAAAAATGTAACTTTTTAAACTCTTAACAAAGAGTCTACCTGTTGAGGATGTTACATCCCCAGAACTCACTTGGTAAATACCTTATTTTTGTAATTTTATTTTGAATTTTCTTGTTTTCGCGCCGAAAGCGCTCTCTTCACCTTTATGTCGTATTTCCTATTCGAAAGAATCTTAAACGCTATTGGTTCGTTGTGTCTTTTAGTATGCTATTTTGTAACACTTCCCAAGGACAGTTTTATGCTGTATATATGCGTTTGATTTGTGCCTGTTGTGATCGCTCGTGCTTCTGGCTTTTTGCAGAATATATTTCTCCGTTTCAAACTTGGACTTCTCTCTTTAGTTAGAGGGGCTGAGACGCATCAGAATAGCTAGCTAGTTTATTTGATCTTTGGTCACAAGTTTTTGTTCCGTTCGCAAACTAGGTGAACTAGTAATCGCTTCAAACATAGCAATACCCTTAACAAATATTTTAATTTCTTGAGTTCGGTAACAATCTGTTATCCTTATTACTATAATCATGTTATTTCGTATATCTATTTTGAACAGATAGAGGATAATTTATTTAGTGGGATGTTTCAAAAGTGCCTGATGAATTTTACGTAATGAAAGTAATCTATGATGTCATTGAATAAGGATTAGAACAATTCAGCGAAGGAAATTCTATTTTCGACAATACTTTATTACTATACCTATTATTATCTTCATTCAATATCATATATTTTTGGTACCATATAGAATACTCAACACAATGTATTCCAACAAGTTTCCGTTCCTTACTTCTTGATCAATCCTTACAATCAATATTGAGTGATCGCCAGCTAGAAGTTAGCAGTCCAGGAATCGACATCTGAAGAATGTATATTCTTTTCACTATAAGTCTATTCACAATCATTCACATAGCTTATATTCACTGTCTTAGGAACTGATACTAGTTCTCTAGTGTGAACGCGATGATCCAGGTTTAAAACAATCAAATCATGGGAGATATATCGCTATTGTTTTTCATGTTAGAAGCATTCCATTGAGATATTGGAGAAAAACATAAGTAAGTGGGTTTAAGATAATGTTCATTGAGAGCGCAAACATCTGTTATGAGCACATGAACACGGAACCGGAACTAGAGCTAAGTGAGGAAGTAAAACAAACAAAAATAGATAACTTGTTGAAATATCTAGATGGCAGGAACAAGTAGCCCAGATGTTCAAACAGGCCGCCAAAATATGAATTTAAAATTTACATAAGTTCATTTGATCAAATTACTGAGGTTTAATTTTCGTCCTCTGTCCATTGTTTTCAGAATACCAGGATCAATATTATTATTGACGTGTTAGCTTCCATATAGTTCATATTCAACCTTTATTGATTTTCGTGACTATACCTTTCATATGATAGTATTGTTTCATTCAATCGTCTTCTCAATTAGATGTAAATAGGTGATACCTTTTCTCATTGCCTTCTCGTGGCGAAGGGGTGATTTACGAAATTGAGAAGATGAAAAGCGAATGTCTAGCGCTTTAACCGGGTTGGTGAAGACGCAAAGTTCACCTATGGGAGTTGGAAAACCTTTATTCCAAACCAATGTTGCACATAGGCTCCAAGATCCTGAAGGAACAAATGGCGTATGAACCTATTGTTGGTTACCGGCTCTCTTTACTCGAACACAACTAGACAAGTGACAGCTTTGGCGAACTATCGTCAGAATTGATTACTTCAAGTGGTGTTCGTCAGGGCTGTCCACGCTCTCCATTCTTGTTTAACTTTGTCGTTGATGTGCTTTTAGAGAAAGCACTTTCCTCATCTAAATTCCCAGGGGTTGAACTTCTACCGGGGGATTCACTTGTTGACTTAGTATATGCTGATGACAGAGTTTTATTTAGTAAAAATGCTGACAACACGCAGAGTCTTCTGACTACTCTAAGCAACAATGCAAGCATGTTCGGGATGCGATTCCTCCTCTCGAAATGCAAAATGTTGCTTCAGGATTGGGTTACATCGACACCCGAAATAGTGATAGGGAGTGAAGTAATTGAGTGTGTCGACCGCTTCACTTATCTTGGGAGTCTCATCAGCCCTTGTGATCTGGTGTGTGACGAAATCTCAACACGGATACAGAAGGCTCGACTAGCTTTTACCAACTTGCGTCATTTATGGCGTAGGCGAGATATCCGTCTATCAACCAAAGGATGGGTTTACTGCGCAGCAGTTCTTCCCGTCCTACTTTATGGTAGTGAAACATGGTCGGTAAGAGTAAAGGATATCCGTAGGTTGCTAGTATTTGATCATAGGTGTCTTCAAAATATTGCTTGTATATCGTGGGACCATTGAGTAAGTAACCCAGTTGTTAGGAAACGGGTACTAGGTAAGGATGGTAAATCAATTGATGACTTAGTGAAACTTCATCAGTTGAGATGGCTGAGACACGTGTTACGTATGCCCAACGACCGACTGCCTCGATGTGCGATGTTTTATGGTATAGGAGTAGGTTGGAAGAAAGCTAGGGGTGGCCAGACCAAAACATGGCACAAGTCCATGAAGTCACTGACAAGTGGACTGAGTCATGTTGGTAGGTGTAGACTACCTGGTTGGGGACCGTGAGATGATAGCAACCGATGGTTAGAGACCCTGAATGACGTGGTTGAAAATCATTTGCAATGGTGCAGGTGCATCTACTCTTTGTGTTCTCCCGAATCCACGTTGTCCCTTTTTTTCTCTTTTCAAATTTATTTCACTGGATTATAGTACTCGAATAACATCTTCAAACCCTAATGTTTCCGATTGCTGCTTATATTCTTACCGCCTCTACCAATATGGGATTTGAATCGACAACTGCATCTGTGAGCTAATGTGGTGTGGCAACTCGAACTGATGCACGTATGTACGAAGTTCTACGTTGTTACTGACTGACTTACTGGTTACTGGCTACTATGAGACTGCATCTCCTAACGTTGCTCCATTGCCTTGTGGATCAGACGTTTAGGTCGAAGACTCCGGTTGTGGCTCTAAGGAAATCACCCACCCCGGTCTCGGCATCCAGGCAGTATCCCAGCTCTCACAGAAATCGAATGATTTATTTTGCACATATCTGTATTAATTAATTATCATTGGTTGGATTAGTGACTATTTTAGGTAATCATATGTGGACCTTGATTAGGCTACCGAATGAATAATACATAGAAGGATGTTTTGTAAATTACAAAACATATGTATTTTAAATTACAAAAGACTTATTTCTCCTTTCTTCGCGTCAAATCTGTCGAATACTTTCAGTATTGTTTGGATTCGTC